CACTGGATTCCAGGAGTTCAGTTCAGTGTTTGTCTGTGGGTATCTGCCTCTGCTTTCATCAGCTGCTGGATGAAGGTTCTGTTTCCCAGACTCTCTGGCAGTGGGATTGCAGGCTGTCACTCCCCTGATTCACGTCTAAAATCCATAAATGAATGAGTACATACCATGTTTCTCTTTTTGTGATTGGGTACCTCACTCAGGATGGTTTCTTCTAGTGCCATCCATTTGCCTGCAAATTTCAAGATTATTTCAAGATTCCACTGTTTTTTCTTTCTGCTGAGTAGTACTCTGTTGTGTAAATGTACCACATTTTCTCTATCCACTCTTCAGTTGAGTAGTATTTAGGTTGCTTCCAGGTTCTAGCTATTACAAATAATGCTGCTATGAACATAGTGGAACAGAAATCCTTGTTGTATGAATTTGCCTCTTTTGGATATATGCCTAAGAGGGAATTGCTGAGTCTTGTGGTAGACTGGTTCCCATTGTTGTATTCAACAGATATTGCAGTTTGAGGACCAATATTTATAAACCTTACTTGTTTTTTGTTACTTATTTTATACTTAACATCGAAAACACATACAGGAGGCTAAGTAAAACTTGTCACTAAATGAATTACGTAAGAGTTTACAAGTTAGTAGCTTTTCTAAGATTAGGATTTACAGTTTTATCATTGTTAAGTTTGAGTCCTAAAATTTGAGTTGAAGCTCCATTAGCAACAAAATAAAACTTTAAACCATGTATACAGTCCTCAGAGAAACTAGGAACGTTACAAAACCAAAAATATAGTCCATAGAGAGACTTGGAGATTTATCCTTTTATAGTGCCCCATTATAGAATATCAGAGTTTCTTGTGTTACTCTTTATCTGTTCTGATTAGAGTAGCGTTGAACATGGTTGAGCAAGTCTTCCTTGTGGTGGGATGAAGATATGTGAGAGACTAGCCAGAGCCATCTGCGAGAGTCCAGAGCAGAGAAAGAAAAAAGTTTATTGACTAGCAGACTCGACATTTCCAAGAGAGAGGCAGAAGCAAAGTAGAGTGAGAGACTTAGAGATGAAGGCAAAGGAGTTCAGGCAAAAGAGAGAGCATAGTCAAATATCAAATAACAGGGTTACAAGGAGAAATGAGTAGCTGCCGGAGGGGAGCCCATAAGCTGGAGCCACTTAAGCTGACAAGAGCAAGGATGCCAGTATAGACTTTGAAATTTGCAACTGCAAGTCTCCATCCTGGTTGTGTCTTTCTAGAAAAGTTACCTGCACAGCAGTGATGCTGCAGGTTTTGGTGGAAATAGTTTCTATGCAGAACATCTGTGCTGTTCTGATTGTATGCCCACTTCAGCAGTGCCACAGGAGGACTGGCAGGGAGGCTGAGGTGCAGCCAAGGGCTATTCATGGTGAAAAGAATATAAGAATATCTGGAACTCCCCAATGCTTGTCTTGGGACAAGACCTCAGGAACTAGGTGGGGCTAATTCTGTGACAATTTCCTGTCTCAGTAATAGAGCTGCATGTACTCCAAGCCCACAGTCATGAGTAAGCAAGATGTAATCTTATCCATTTCTGCTGAGATGAGTGCTTGCTCCCTAGAGCAAGAGGTTAAGAGCCAATAGGTGAAGCTAATCCTCTTAGGAGGCAGCCAGTCTGGTGTAGAAGTTGGCTCGGATTATACACAAAGTTATCATGGTATCTGATTCGATTTCAGACTGTGAAAACTAGACTCAAATGTTTCATTTATATTTATGTTTTCCCTGGGACTGGACGACTGAGGTCAAGTATTTGCTGACCACTCTGTCCCCAGTCTGTGCAACAAGGTTTGGAGATAGTTTCTTCCTGTGTTAGTATTTCTGAGCATTTCTTTTCCGAGTTTACTCTCTCATTTACCTGATAGTTAAGTGAATACCTTCAACTAAGCCTTTCTCAGGTGACTCTGACAGCATTTTCCTCCCAAGTTGGAACTGCCATTCAGTGGGTGGCTTTAACACAACTGAACTCAGGGCATTCTGTGACTTCCTGTAGTACATTGTTCTTGCCCACATCTTCATTTTCCTCTTCTGCTTGGCTTAGGAAACAGTCTTATTCCTTTTCTCCACTAAGAAATGAAACAAAAAGCTGTTTGTGAATTCAAATCAAGCACTGGTGAAAAGAACAGTCCCTTGATGGAATGTTAAAATTATCTTGGGGCTACATCGCTCCGCTTTTTCTTCCTGGGTGCAGAGTCTACACCTTTCTGGGAACCAGATTCCAATCTCCACAGCAGCTGAGCTCTATGAGCACCAATCACAGCAAATCCCGCCTCCATCAGCACAGAATGAGTTTCTGGGCACTTCCAGTATGTGGGGTTGGAGGTTTTCTCTCTGATAGCTGTGGTCTTTTAAAAGCAAGCGGAACCGGCGGTGGTTTAACTGCTCCTATTTGTCGTCTAACACCTTAGCCACATCTTGTGCTGCCCCTAACAGTGGTGGTTTAAGTTTAACCATTTTCCAGGAAGCAACCACACTCACAGAGCAGGTAAACAAAAGAAGCTTGAGAAAGTAAAACTTCTATTAGCCACAGGATATTCTCTCTCCATCCCCCTACCCCTAGCACTGTCTGTACACCCCAGGCTCCAGGCTGCCCAGTTGGATACAAGCAGGAGGGCGCTAAGAGGTTTGACACCACATAAGACACAGCTTGGTGCTATTGGTCAGTGATAACAACCCCACAAGTTTTGCTGATTGTCAGCTTCCAGTCATGGCATCTGTTTCCTTGTGCAGACTGGGTCTCTGTTTAGAGGCCAGAAACTGGATCTGAAGAAGTCTAGTCAGTTCAGGAACATGTAAATTAAATTTCATCTTCTTAAGTCTGGCTATTCTTGTCCCCATGCCCATGCTTGGTTTCACAGAAACTGAAGTTGGTTTTGTAAACTCTAAAACCTTTTCATCTTAAGTTAAAGATATGAACTCTAGCTTGAGAAAATGTGGATAGGTAAAGAGGTTATTCCCTTCACCCACTCTGAGCCTAATATGATAAGAAGGTTTTCTTAAAGAATAGCCTGTTTCCATCCTACAAACAAAAGCTGTACTAGTAAGAGCAGAACTGCTCACACCAACCAGCTGAGGTCCAAATTCTGCAGTTCTCTGTGGAGCTTTAGGAGAGTCCACTCTTCTCCCTGCCATAGTTTCTCCTCATAGGGAACTGAGAGACATTCTATACATGGTACTGTGTTGTGATGCTTGCTTCAAGTGACACATACTTAATCCACTGCCTGGAAAATACCACAGCATCCGTGATTTCAACCATTACTTGATTCAGATGTCAACCACTTGGTTTGTAACTTTATATGAAATACTTAAATTACTTACCTTAATGCATTATTCTAAATACACATAAATTTTAGTGTGAGACTAAAACATTACAAAATAATAATATGATGTATTTCTCAAAAGGTAAATTATTTGAATATTCTCATGACATAGAAATAATGAATAAATGTTTTAGGAAAAAGCCATGCTTACCCTGATTTAAAGAATACTCCATGTGTATATGGACTCAAACATTGCATAGGATTCCATAAATGTGAATAAATTTTGTCATTCAAAAGAGAAGCTGGTATAACTTAGAAAAGGCAGACAAAGTGGCTAGTATTCTATGAAATGTGGTTCCTGATTCAGGGTTCTCCCAGAAAATCATGTAGTTACCTGCTTGAGGCTGTTGTGTTGTGATAAAAAGTCATGGACCAAGGAAGTTGCATATCCTCATTCCTGCATCAGAAACTACCTAGATTCCCAGAATCTTCTACAAACCATCGAGTCTGTGGACGAACCTGAACATTGGGATGCTACTCACATCCACACAACACATTAAAGGATCTTCCATGCCTGAGACTCACAGCTCACTGTGTGTCTCCCTAGAAGATCAGTTTCAAACCAGACAAATGCTCAATGGAAAGCAGAATAGCTTTTCTAATGTACAGAAGTGGCACAATTATGACTATTGTAGAGTAGATTGCACTTCCAGCTAGAGGAAGGATGAATGAGAAAGAATGACAAGCCAGTGTCCTGGAGTAATCATCAGGAATAAAGAGAAGAATTCACAAGTCCTAAAGGAAATTACCACTAACTTTATCAAGGAAGCAGTGGGTATTTTTGTAATTTGTGGGTTGTTTAATTTAATATTACTGAAAGATATAAGATACATTCTCTCTCTCTAACAATCACACACACACACACACACGATCAGAGAAATATGACTTTAAATTACAAACACTTCTTCAAAACAGTGACCTTTAATAGTGAGATTAACTCTCCAATCTGTAAACGGTGACCCCAGATTGTATCTATTTCAAAGGGCTGTTAGAGGATCAGGGACTGCTTGGTGTGTAGCACAAGACATGATCCTATTGCACTCTGCCATCCTTCCCATTAAAAGAATATAAACCACTATTGGTGCCTTTCTGTGTGAGTGTGGTATCCACTCTCTCAGGTAGGATCAAAGGGCTATACTGGGGCTCTCAAGGACTTGCTTGTATTTGCTGTTACTAGTTCATTTAACATAAAAACCATAGGGGATAGAATATTCTAACTTCATTTCACAGAAGGCAACTGTGGTATTGGGAGTTGAGTTCCTGGGGTCACTCTCCTCCATTGCTTTTCCTCTCTGAAGTTCTGGTAGCTTTCAGTGAGCAGTCTGAGGATCAGAAAACATACTGCTGTGAAACACAGGCACAGAGTTCAGCACACACAGCTGGAGTCATGTTAATATTTGTTCATTGCCAGAAGAAAGCCCCAAACCAAATGACCCAAAATCTGATGGCCTTTAAGAGCAATAACATGGCTGTTTAAATTGCCTGTTTCTCCTCATACATCCACTGTTATAAGAAATGTCACAACCACAGACTCTAGACCAATGTTAGGAATGTGATTTTGGACTCTTGTTGCCAACCATTGCTGAATGACATGGCTCAGTTTTTGTACTATGCCTTTCAGGGTTAGGAAATGAAAGTAAAGATTGACAAAAGTAGACTTCTGATTTTTTAGAAAATTTATTTTCTCGAATGTGAAATACAAGACAAAAATCCAAGCAGTAAAGAAGGCTCTTCAGGATGTCTAAAGTGGAGGCTTTCAGGGAATTAGCTGGTTCAAGGCCAATAAGGACAACGGGTAAAAGCTGCAAGCTATCCTTACCAGAGCTGTGATGCTTCAGGCTCCTGGGGGAGGAGACTATCGAAGAGGATGGAATCAGGAGAGAGGTGTGCTCAGTTATACAGATGTTGCTCAGTTTTGAAAACTTCTAAACAAAGTCAGAATGATATACATTGGACTTTACAGAGGTCAATGTTAGCAAGAAAATTCAGCTGGCATCCTTTGACAGAAAAGGATAAAAATTAGCTGACTTGTTGTAGTATCGTTCACTTCCTTAGGAACGCTTCTTATTGCCACAGCTAGCTGTTCTTCTAAACAGAAAGAAGCTGACCATGGCCAAGTGGATCACACTCTTGAGGAGTAGGAGAAGGTAGGTATAGTAGGCTGAGGTGTTCGTGAATTGAAGCTGCTGCATGTCTAAAAGAGTTCTTTAATTAGTTCTGTCTGCTTTTTTTTTTTTTTTACATCATGTCACATCTTACTGAGGAGGGAGCAATAGGTACTGATTTCTGAGGACTTACGTTGAGTAACAGCTCCCCACACCAAACCTGAAACTCATCATTTGCACTCACCCTCCACTAAGAGGGAAGTTGAACTTGGAAGTCAGTTTCTCTAAACCCATCAATGCCAGCAACTAGCAAGTAACTGGATGACTTTAAAAACCTAGACTTAACTTTTATCATGCTTTCTTTGGTGGTTAGACATATGAATAAATGAATTCCTTTGTTAAAATAGGTTAGGGTACATCACTGTGCCCCTCCTTAAAGTCCATTTCAATTTATATGGCACTGTGTTGTTGTGATGTGTGTGTAGTGACACATTAGCTGTAAATACCAGTGTCCATTAAGTAACACCCAGGCATTTAGATATTCCTAAATCAATTCAAGGCAGTTCAAGCATTGTTATCTTCAAAAGAAAAAGTGCTGTAATGTGACAAAAAGGCAAACATACTAAAACCTACCATTTTCATGCCAGCAAGTTGTAAGTTCAGTACTCATGGCAACTACAAGAAATGACAACAAGAATTTGTTAATTAATATGCACATTACTTGACAGTTCTCTCTGTGTTTGTAAATATGCATATATTTACATGCAAATGAATACACAGATATTCTCACAGAAGTGTATTAAAATATGAACTCCATAATTATACAATTATGTATGAACATGACTCAGTACATATCATTCACTTGTGTTTCTGTATACAGAAAAGCAGAAATTCAACAACAATATTTTTTCCTAAAAACATATAGTAAACTGTCTAAAATAGTCTTCTATGGAAAACAACCATATCTTTCCAAACCACGTTCCTTCCCAAAGCAACTGTTCAAAGGTTACTGTTCATTTTAATGACTGGGGATTCCAGAGGAGAAACCCAGGCAGTGACCAGTAAGAGGTTCAAAGGTTTTATATACTCATTACTCACAGGTTCATAAAGTCCCCCGGGTCTTGGAACTATTTTTCAATGCCAACAGTTATAACACAGTGAATTGTGAGACCACCGCTAGGCCCTGTGCACATTCAACTCTCTGACTGGACATGAAACTATATATCTCACTTAATTAAGGGGATCCTTCTAGATCTTATATCTGAAATATTGTGAACAAGATGGAAAGAGTATGCATTCTTCACTGTACAGCCCCCTCCATGTTGGAACACTGACTAATCCTGGTCTAACTACCCACATTACTATTCAAGCCTATGTGGGCTTTCAGAAATGCATTATAATGTCAAGATTAATTATGAGGCATGCTTGCAAACAGTATCCTCATTCAATCTTTAACTATAATAGTCTATATGATAGTGATGCACACAACAACAACAAAATCTTCCATTTGAATATTTTGTTAACTAAGACATCAGTGTTTGGGAGTTGAACTTTGTACACAATAAGATTAAAGTAAATGACTTTACTTATTTGATAGAACATTCCTAACTAAGTCATCAAAAGTGGAACCTCCATTTTAGCATTTATTACGTACTTAGCAGCTTGTTGCTTTAAAGTGTCATTTCTTTAAATTAACAATTACTAAACAGAAAGAAAGAAAGACAGAAAGGAAGGAAGAAAAAAAGAAAGACAGACAGGCAGGAAGCAAAGAGGGAAGAAAGGAAGGAAGGAAGAAAGAAAGAAAGAAAGAAAGAAAGAAAGAGAAAATCAGATCTGAATATTCTGTATAATGATGCTAGACTTAGAAAAGTTTAAGCAAAATTTTCACCTTTTCTCCTAAAGCCTCTGCCATCTTATTTCTTTGGTAAAGTATAAAGTAAAATAAATGCAATGGCCCTGTTAATATAAGACCTTTAATTTTTATTAGTACATAATAGAAAACCTGGGTATTTTCAAATGCATTTCTAGGAAGCTATATTTCAAAGACTATATGCACATACCTTTTTTTATTGGAGGAAAGGAAATCTCTTGGTCAATTCCTTTTTTGTTGTTCTCATGTTTGACAATACATCTGTGCTCTTTGTGCATTGACTTTTCCGCCACAGTAAGCCAGCTAAGTTTCATGTACGTGTAATTAGTTTTCAGTGTATTCCCTTCCCGGGATTCCAGGATCTTGTCGCCATCCTTTTCTTTCCAGTATACCCTTATAATGTCTGGGAAGAATTTTTCAAGGAGACAAAGATATGTCCCAGCCTTATGGAGATTTGTTTCAGCAATAGAAGGAAGAAAAATGGTGGGCTTGGGAGAAAGGTCCTCATCAAGGCTTTTGTCTGTAAGATAAAATGGAAAATTAATAAAGATAATAATAATGCAGATAGTAGTTCTTATTTAAACAGAGCCTCATGTAGCCCAATGTAGTATCAAATTTTCTTTGTACCCATGGATGGTGTCCTCCTGGTCTGCCTGATCCTGATCCCCCGGCCTCTGCCTCCCAAGTGCTAGCATAACAGACATGCACCACTAAATCCACTCACTCAAAATAATTATTACATATACACAAATATTGAATGATTAAGAACAATTTATTTCTTCATACTACCTTTGTTTTCTCAGGGTGAAGCATACAGGCATTTGGATGGATGCATGGGAGGCAAGGAGACGGAGTTGCTTCTGGTCATAGAACCAATGAAGGTTTCTTGTCATTTCTAACATGCTCCCCATCCCCATTCTTTGGTACTTTGTTCTCTGGCAAAGCAACCTACTGCTCATTTAGCTGACTCTATCATGTGCCCTGCCTTTCTTATAGCTCAGTGGAATAGATGTCAGAAGGTAGCTTTGAATTTTTCTTTATAACTATGTGCAGTCCCTTGTGTGATGGTGGTATCCTTCCATGGGTATTTACAGTCCATCAAGTAGATCTGCTAGCTGCAATTGCAGATCCCATTCTCAGTCTTGACATTCTTAGGGGATCTCCTAGTTAATCTTTACTTTTAGAAACGATCTCACTCTCACATGAGAACCATTTCAGGTTTGGGCATTGGGCATGTAGCTGCCCCTCCAAATTATCCCTAGTGTGTTGAATTTAGGTACTTCAATATGAATGATCTCAGTGGATGAGCACCTAGTAAGATACCAGAGACAGGGGGGAATCTTCTGGGGAAGAATTTATATAGAATGTAGTGCTATAAAGGAAACTAGAGTATGATTCAATAGGGAGAAGGATGGGAATGCAGAGTAGAAGATGGAATATGGATATGGAAAACTAACATTAAAGGGTCTTTGAAAAATCACATGGAAATATACAACTGTAGAAGGTTCCTAAAATATATACTAGAAGGTACTCTGTATGATTCTAGAGGAGAAGCTGTACTACCTGCAATAGCAACCAGCTTGAAAGATATAATGGTAAAATTGTAGAGCATTTTATGGAATAATTAACCATTTTGATTGGACTTAAGGCCCACTCCATGAGATGGAAGCCATACCTGATGCTGCTAAAGACTAGATAGGTCACAAGCCTAGGAAAAAATATACTCCTATAATTCTGCCAATGGAACATAGCAATAAAATGTCTCCTAATGACATATTGCTATACACATAGACTAGTACATTGCTCAACCCTCATCAGAGAAGCTCTTCTTGAAGCATATGGTGATTAACACAGGGAACCACAACTAGACAATGTTCAGAGAGTGATAAACTTTGGAGCACACAGTCCTAAGTGGGATGTTGTCATCCAATCTGGTCCCTCAAGGCTCAAGACTATGTGGAAAGGAGGCAGAAAAATTGAAGAGCCAAAGGATTGGGGCATCTGTTTCAATAGTGCCTTCTATATATGACAGGAAATTGAACCTATTAAATCTTAACAATATGGTATCCTAAACGATGAGATATGCACAGTTACAACACCACTCGACATTCAAACATGAGTGGGGAAAATTTCTCAAGATAAAGAACCACAGATAATCAATGGATGCTAAGAGAAGGAGAATCGGTGTTCTGTAGGAATGGGACCCTGACAGGTCATCTAATTCCAAGTGATTAGACATAAACATATGAATAACACTAAATGAACTTATCAGGTTGTATTTACATATATACATAATAGCATATATATTTATATAACAATAACAGTTACAGAAGAGTCATGAATTTCACAGGGAGTTGGAGGAGTTAAAAGAGGACGAGGTTTGTAAAGTAGAAAGGGTGTAAATAAAGTACTCATGTATGAAATTCTCAAAAATGTAAAATAATTTCAAAAATAGAAGCACATCTTCTATTAACAATATTTTCTTTTTGCTTTTTGAGATAGGGTTTCTCGGTGTAGCTTTGGAGCCTGTCCTGGAACTTGTTCTGTTGATTATGTTAGCCTCAAACTCATGGAGATTGACGGCCTCTGCCTCCCAAGTTCTGAGCTTAAAGGCATGTGCCACCACTACCCAGCTGTCAATAAAATCCTTTAAAAACATATTTAGAGTCATGTTTCCTGTCAAATAATGAAATAGGTTGCTAAAGAGAAACAAATGCCTCCAGATAGAAATTGTGTGAGTGTGTGTACATAAATATGAAGATTATCTTCCATTTTAGCAGTTAGAAGTCCAGTTGCATCTCCCAGAAAACTTTGCTGTGTAATATATGTTATTGGCTAAAACAACAACAAATCACTTCTCCATGGTGGAGACAGTCCTCTCTGCAGTTTTTGTGTCTAATGATTTGGACAATGTACCGCATGCTTTATTCACATTATCACCTTCTGTTCTCACATAATCTTGCTGTTCTCATGCCCTCATCTGTCTTACTGATTAGGAACTTAGCACAAAGTCTCCTATGTGGAATAAATGGAGAAGCAAAAGATCCATGTCTGAGTTAAAGGCCAGACTTATCCACAGCACACTGGACCTGGAGGAAAAGGAAGGTGACTGTCTATTGAGTCTATCACAGACTTATCTGTAATAATAAGCACCACACCAGTGTCAAATGTTTCAATAATAACTTCCATACGTGACATATGAATGTTTTATGAAAGTCCAAATGTCTGCAGGACGTTTGTACACTGTTCTTCAGTATCAACATTTGTAATTGTAATCTCCTAGAAAGTGTTTCAGGAAATCCTGCTCATAGCCCTCTTCTTTCTAAACATTATCACCTCTACTCCACCATGGCCATGGTTTGCCTTCTCTCAATTGCTTTGAAAATATATTCATTCAATATCCACCTATGACAACACATTTCATTCCTCTACCAAACATGGAGGAACTCCTCAGTGTTTCAACCCATATCAAAACTGCATTACTTTAGTGTCCTTAACTCTTTAGATTCCAAGGACAACATCATGGTCTGGAATTCTCATAAGAATAAGGCTTGGTCCTGACTTAACTGATTCATAATAAGTTATGAGATTGAGCAAGTCAAACAACTTCTAAGTTTTATCTGTTTTATTTTTTATAAAAAATATCTGCTATTGTAAATCAATTCAGCCTCACTACATCAACAAAACCAAAATGAAACAAGATGAAAAACTGATTAAAAAACTAAAATGCAGAGATTATTGCTGTCATCAATATGGCTGATAGCAACAACTAATGCTATGACTTGCACTTGAACAAAATATTGTCTTTCCATGGGAAAAAGTTTTGCTATTAACCATGGAAATGGAAGGTTTTACTTGAAATGAAATCTAGGTCAAATGAGAGCCCCATCTGCAGTCTACTTTGCTATAGTCTACCTAGATTCCCAAATCCACCATCACAAGAAGCCTGCTGCTCTAGGACAGTAAAGGGAGATGTTATTAAGCCTAGAGTGCACGCCGATGCATGGGACACTTGGTATTTACTGTCCAAAACAGTGCCTGTTCTCCCACTCAGCAGCACAACCCATGGGAATTAGATCTTTCTCCAAAAGTTCAGATACAGGATCAGCTCATGCCAACCTCTATTTTGCAGCTTCTGTCTTGACTCTTTCTTGAAAATGAACTGAAGAAATACCATGAGATCTGGTTCTCAAAGTCGTGTTAGGACTCTGCTATCTACCTGACCTCATAGGCTAAGAGTCCTGGTGTGTGTGTGTGTGTGTGTGTGAGAGAGAGAGAGAGAGAGAGAGAGAGAGAGAGAGAGAGAGAGAGAGAGAGAGAGAGAGAGAGAGAGAGAGAGAGACCAAATGTTATGATGTAGTTGCAGTAGTATCAGTGGGTTTGTTTAATTGCCACTATTTTTCATTTCTCAAAATGAATGTTGGAGATAATATCTACTCAATATCCGTTTTTCTTCTGAAGGATATGTGCTTTGAAATGTTTTCCATTTTTCTTTTTTCTGCCTTTCTGTGTATGTGAAACATGCAGGTTCCTGTGTGTGACTTCAGCAAACCCTTGCCACATGTCCGTATGGCAGTCAGCAGATGATAACCTTGCTTCAGTCATTACCTTCCATCTTGTTTCAGACAAGATCTCCTTGCTATTTACCATTCCAGATTCCAGTGTACCAGTCAGGTGGCCTTCTGGAGCTATCCAGGTCTCAGTGTCCTGCCTTACTTTAGGGGCACAAGTGGGTTCTGCTGTGCATGACTTTAGACTTACTGTGGGGATTCAAACCCAGGTCCTCACATTTATGCTGCAAGCCCTGTACCCACCAACTCATCTCCCCAACTACTTCTCTAAATTTACAGTGGAAAATTTAACACATTTGAAAACTGATATACTCCTCTATCAGTCAATAAAACAGGTGTTGTATTATATTTTATTTTAATCTCTAAAAAAGTTGTGCTCTTCAATTACCTTAACTTTTTGCCCAGGTCTTCCATGCCAGAAAGGGAAGAACACAGCTATCTTATTTGTAGCCTGATCTCTCTAGACATAATTGGTCAAAGCAGGAACCATTCTAGGGAAACCGAGGCTGGATCTCACAGCACCTGCACCCGTGCCTCTCTCCCTTCTCTACTCTACTCTGCAGAATAGAAATAAAATGTTTCTGTAGGTACGTGCTTTGTGCCAGGGTGAAACACTTGGATGGATTTGCATATAATACCCAACATCTGAAATTCAGCTTGTGAACATGTAAAATCGCTGACAATATTTTGTTACTATTTATATGAATATGTAAAAGTGGCTCTGTTGATGTTGAGGCAAAACTCAAAGTCACATAAGAGCTAAGTGTAACCAGGAATCTAAGGTCTGAGCACACTCTGCCTTGTAGTTTGTGTCAGTTCACATGGATGGACAAGTTTTTTTTATTTTTTTCAACATTGTCCAGATGTTCTTGTATTTCCTCCACTAAAGAGTTGTAATTTATTAACAAATTCTCATCCTAAGATGCAATTTAATGTTAATTGAGATGTCTTTTTCAGAGGAAAATTTTCAGGGAGAAATAAAAGCAGTAGTATTTAGGCATAACTACTAATAATTTGGCAACAAATATGTTCTTATGTAAAACAAACAAGATTAAAAAATGAAAATTTTCAAGTATAAAATCATCCTAAGCTTCCTTGAGGGAATTATGATCAAATAAAGATGAAAAACTATGAAGAGCCTTTTACATGGACACTCGACAGAAGTAGTTTGTGTAAATTATAAATTCTAACAGAAATCTCCAGATAATCTTTCAAGGATCAGAGTAACATAAACCGTGACTAGTCACAACCTATCCTCCAAGGAGTCAGACAAATAAGAAGGGGTTTTTTCATGTTCTACAGTAATTTACTGTGAATTGTGATCAAAACCAACAATAATTATTTCCCAATTTATCTGGAGAATGTAGCACTAGTTTTGTTTCAAAATACAGAGGAAAACCATGAGTAAAACTCCATTTTGAGGACGCGCTAAAAAAATCCTTTTATAACACTCTCCTGAAGCAATAATTTATACCAATAGTCTATGCACATGATCCTCAGAATGACTCCCTCTTACACTTTGTATATGTGACTATTCTAAATACAGCTTCAGTGTTTTCTCGATGGAAAGAAGAAACCATTTATAAAGTACTTTCTGCATCATATCTAATAATCTATCCTGAAAAATGACTCAGGCTAAGATACAGTGACTCATATTTGTCATCATTGTAGAAAAACAGAAAATCCTACTTACCAGAAGGTATTACTATGAGCTTCGTTCCTTCTGCAAATACCTTGATCCAGCCCGAGCTATCACAGTGCTCCCAGCTTCTACAAAAATCTGAACCTTCTCCGAACATTCATGACATGATATCAGGCTAAAATTTGTCATAACAAACTGATACGGGTTCCTTAGAAATCCATTGACCATAAATCGTACGACATCTGGTAATTTGTAAGATTCTTTACAAACTGACTTCATTCATTGTTTTCCCTGGAGGCAGTGATAATACAAAGTAGAGGGGATACAATTGGAGAAGAAGAGAGTTGGACTAAGTAATACACCAACTGCTATTTTTCCAAGTAACTAGGAAAAATATTCTAAGAAATTTTTTGTTTTCCCTTTCCAGGAGTTCAGTTGTGTTGAAACTGCTCAGTGTTTACATCAAAGGAATGTGTCATCTGTTCTCACAAGCACTGCCCTCCCTTGGGAAAGGGGGAAATATTTCTGAAAAGAGGAAGCTCTTTAGTAATTTAAAATAAAAATGTGCATATTTGACAAACGTGAGCCAAATTCTATATGTTCAAAAAGCTACCATTATTGGTTACTATTAATCAAGAACTATTATTATAGACATGTCAATGAAAAATGTAATCTGTCATGCCATACTAGAATAGAGAAGAAAGCTGGATAGAAATTTCATCTGTAAAGTGCTGTAAAATTTTATTTATTGATTGTTTTTAAATAGTATTTTATTTGAAAATTCTATTTTTCTAATACCCAGAATAGTTGCTTACTCTTTGGACTTCACACAGCATGGTGCACTCTTAGTCCCTGTTTTCTACTGTTAGTCTTTGCTCCAAGACCAGGAGGAGAATTATCAGAAGCCTTAAAACTTGTCTGTATTTAGAGAAACATAAACTAATTTAAAACACAAAAGAGTAAGTAATGAATGATGACAAGGTAGCTCAGTAGGCAAAAGCACTTATTTCCAGACCCAATAATCCAAGTTTGACTTCTGGAACTCACATGGTGGAAGAAGAGAACCAACCCTCTTAAGTTGATTTCCAGTCTCTGCATGCATGCCTTAGCATGTGCACATCCACACACATATGCATACACACAATGTAATTGTAAAAATTAATGAGATAAAATGTTTCATTGCATTTATAAAAAAAGCAGTGACACACACATCTCTAATTGTACTTAAGACCTCTCAACAAGAGGTCTACCATGTCTGGTACTGGAAATCCAGCTAACTATTTAATGCTAGTAAACTCCTGGTTATTGGGAAAGAATCTCCAACTACTGATTTACTAAACCAGCATAATCACTAACAACAATCTATAAACATTTATCCTTATGACCTCAGGTGGGTGTAGTCTTCACACTTCATCAAGAAAATTTCTATTTACTACAGATGGAGAAAATCATAATCAGAAAAAGTAGTGGAACACAATCCCAGTGGATATATCTACAAAGATAAATCCCCCATACTTATGGATGAAGGTACATTATGGAAGAGGGTGCTGGGATTAAAGGCGTGTGCCACCACCGCCCGGCTTATGTATCATTTATTTTTGCAATTTATATGAATAGATGTTTTGCCTGAATATATGTATGTATGAGCACCATGTACATAGCTGGTACCCATAAAGCCAGAAGATGTGCTGGATTCTCTGGAACTAGAGTTGCAGACAGTCGTGAATGATCATGCGATGTGAATACTAGTAATTTAACCCAGGTCCTCTGAAAAAGTAGTCGGTGATTTTAAGCACTGAGCCATTTCTCCAGCTCCTGTATATTACTTTTAACAATGTAGCCATTTAGACAATATTTATTCTGGCTATCTGTGAACAAAGATAGCCTTTCATCTTCAACTGTCGTCTCTAATTTCTTTCTTGAGTACTTTATAATTTTCACTGTAGTTATATTTTGAACATCCATACATTGTTTGACCATTTCTATGAAATGTTTTGAGTTTCACTATTTAATGATTCTTGTATCAATATTATATTATGCCATTAGTCTAATGTCTTTTTAACTGTTTTTAATTAAATAATTAATTACTTTTCATAGGACTTGGAATGAACCTAGAGTTATATATAAGTTCTATACAGTAAAGTCATATCTGTAGCCACCACTTAATTTTTCATTTTTGAGGCAGTCTCATTACATTGTCCCAACTGACTTTGAACCCACTATGAAGCCTAGGTTGACTTTAAACTTGTGAACCTCCAGCCTGAACCTCCTAATTAGCTATGGTTAAAGCCACCAGTCCTAGATAAGAATTATTTTTGCTATTTAATGCTCATGAATCTTCACAGAATCTATAATACACTTATTTATCCAAAATTTAGCACTCTCATGTAAGAAAAAGCAAAGCAAACTACAATAGTAGTCAAGATTGGAATTGTAGCTAGTTTAAATATGAATTTAGAAGATGCTGGCTTCCTGATAAGTGTAGGTTTTTTTCTCTATAATTGTGTTTCTTCATGTATTCATAGTTTAGTGGACAATTACTAAAACTTATACTGTTTTGTTCATACAGTCCTCATATTTTCAAAAAGTTTTATTTAATTGGCACCCTCTCTTTTAAAAATAGATTCTTGCTGGGCGGTGGTGGCGCATGCCTTTAATCCCAGCACTCGGGAGGCAGAGGCAGGCGGATCTCTGTGAGTTCGAGGCCAGGCTGGACCGACAGCCTCCAAAACAATACAGAGAAACCCTGTCTCGTAAACCCCCAAAAATGATACATAAATTTGAACTGGGCAGCTGTGGCACGTGCCTTTAATCCCAGCACTTGAGAGGCAGAGGCAGTGGATCTCTGTGAGTTTGAGGCCAGTCTGGTCTACATAGTGAGTTCCAGTACAGCCAGGACTGTTACACAGAGAAATCCTGTCTCAAAAAAAGGGGGGCTCATAAATTATATTGAATTCCCATCAAAATTCCAGTGATAGTCTTCACAGAAGTAGGAAAAACAGTCATTAAATTGAAGGGATACACAAAAGACTTTAATGCCAAAGCAAGCCTAAGAAAGAAGGCTAATGTTGAAAGCATCATAATACTTAATTTTAAACCAGACTCCAGACCAACAGAGAAAAGACAGCCCAATGTGAGACCAGCACACAGATTAGTTGTGTGGAACAATGCAATAGATTAGAAGACCCAGAACAATTGCCATTCTCAATGAAGGTGAATAGGCAATCTCTTTATTAAGTAATACTGGGAACAGTGGGTATTCCATGTAGAAGCCTCTACAAAAAAAAAAAAAAAACATCTAAAATGGCTTGAAGTGGGCCTTAATGGAAGGTGCTGAAACTTGAAATCAATAGACGAAAACAGGAGAAACACTGTTAGAAATAACACCGGATGGTTCATTTTCAAAGTACCTGAGACAGCTCAGGGCCAGCTACAAATGAAGACAGAACATTAGATTCTTGCTACCATCTGCTGATGGAGTTATTCACTTCCCGCACCCAAAGTAGTCAGACTAGTACCCATGCTAGGTCATGTTCATGATAATTTTAAAACAAACTATGTAAAATGTGGAGATGAGTACACACATGATTTTATTGAGAAGACTGAAGATCAAGAGTATGTCTTCCTGATTATCAAAAAAGGAAAGGAAGAGTCATGTGTCTAGTTTTTATATATTCTTCTCTACACTCAATGAAAGGCCTGCCATTCTAGGCTCATATCTGGCTTTGTAGTGTTGTAAATAAAATTGCTTCATTTTCACTTCTCTCAGTCTCCAGTATTCTTAATGAAAGTGAGGGCCAGGATTTCCCACAAACACTGCAACTCTGGACATAGAAAATAACTTCTTCTAGAGGACTCTAAATAGCTCAGGGTACAAAAGCAAGTTTTGATTAATGGGATTGGATCAAATTAAAAGACTTAAAGAAACAACAACCAAGTAAGTGACAACCTACTGATGGGAGAAAGTCTCTGCCAAATTTTCTTCTGAAAAAGGATTAGTATCTAGGATACATAAAGAATTTAAAAAGTTGAACAGAAACACACTCTCCCCAGTCCCATCAACAATGGTCAATGAAATGCAGACATTTCTTCTTTTTTAAAAAAATAATCTTATTTTACATATCAATTCCAGCTCCCTGGATCTCCCTTCCTCCCAACCCTCACTATCTCCCCACGTCCCCCACCCATCTACTCCTCAGAGAGGGTGAGGCCTCCCATAGGGAATCATCAAAGTCTGTTATATCATTTGGTGCAAGACCAAGGCCCCCTCCCCAGATTTAGGCCGAGTAAGGCATCCCTCCACAGGGAATGGGCTCCAAAGATCCAGTCCATACACTAGTTCCACTGACAGTGGCCCCAGAAACTGCCAAAGCTCCCCAATTGTCAGCCACATTTAGGGTGCCCATGTCGATCTCCTGCAGGTTCCCCAGCTGTCAGTCTGGCATCACTGAGCTTCCACTTGCTCAGGTCAGCTGTATCTGTGGTCTCGACAATTTTGCTCATATTATCACTCTTCCCTCTCTATTACTGGACTTCAGGAGTTTGGTTCAGTGCTTAACTGTGCATCTCTGCATCTGCTTCCATAAGTTACTGGATGAAGGCTCTATGGTGCCAATTAAAATACCCTCTCTACTACTGCTTAAATTCTTCCTTGGGGTCCATCCTTGTGGATTCCTTGAAATTTCCCTAGTGATAGGTTTCTGGTATTTCTTAAATGGTGAAGTCTAAATGACTGATAAGTAGTTGAAAATGTGCTTCAAATCTTTAGCCACCAGTGAAGCAGAAATGAAAATTGTTTCCCCTCCTAGTGAGAATGGCTTCCATCAAGAACATGATATCAGGGGTGGTAGTAAGGAGCCATTATGGAAAAGTTCATCCACTTTGAAAGTCAGCATGAAAGTTCACTAAAAAATAAAAGTAGAACTTCAATATGATCCAGCTTTTCCACTTCTGTATAAATACCACCATAGAACTAAAATCAGCTTACTATAGAGATATGTGCACATTTGTGTTCATCGCAAGACTAGTCATAATAGTTAATTATGGGATCAGCCTAGGTGCCTACCCATAGATGACTGGATAAGGAAAAATTTGATGTGTATATGCATTAGTCATAAAAATTTCATAAGTTATATGATTTTTAGGCAAACTATGGAATTGGAGAAAACCATTTTATGTAAAGTAAATCATCTTCCTAAAGACAAATATAGCATGTTTTCTTTCATTGGTGGAAACAAGAGGGGAAAATGGACTTAAACTAATAGTTAAAGTAGTGAAAATGGAGACAGGAAGACAAACTGAGGTTAGGGAAGGGGTACAAAGAAAGAATAACAGAAATCATGGGCAAGGGCTCAAGTTTACAATCCTTTTACTCAAGAAGTAGTTCAAAGTCATTTTCATCTACATAGTGAGTTCAGATACTTCCTGGGCTGCAGGAGATCCTGTGTCAGCAAAGAATAGCTATACTTAATCAAATGTATGTATGTATGTATGTATGGATGGATGTATGGATGTATGGATGGATAGATGCATGGATGTAGAGAGAGAGAGAGGTGGTAATGAAATCCCTTTGTAAAATTAATATGCAAAGAAAGCATGATACAACATTGCAAAATTCAGATAAAATAATTGACTCTGTGTCTACCATCTATCAACGACTATCCATCAGAAACATTAAAATCTAACTTCCACGTAAGATATGTTCAAAACTATATTGAAATTTACAATGCTTTGAGAATATTATAGAACAAATGTAATGAAGTGTATTGTGTTCACTAGGTAGAATAGGAGAACAATTGTATAATGTGTTATTTAAGAAATGCAGTGTGATAAATTGTAATTTACTGTGTTTTCAAATGAATGTTTCTAGGAGAAAATCAATCAGGGCTTACTGAAGGATCTGTGGAGAAGAGTGGCATGGCCATCCCAGAGTAGAAATGCATGAGTAGGGAGGATACACCTGGGAGGTGGAAGAAACAAGTCAGCAGAAGCCATCGCTGCTGGCAGTGAGGATTAGCAAGTGGCTGGTGTGATCAACACCGAGAGGCTTAGCTGAGTTTGAAGAAGGTCCTCATGTAAGAAGTCAGATGCCTCAGAACGTTGAAATTGAGGGCCAAAAGCGGTTAGACATAAGAATGAGCATCAAATGCACTGCTTCTACTGTTGGTTAATTCTCAAGGCTCAGGATCCATATTTCAGGACTCCATAAGGTTTAATGTTTCTAGAATCAACACTCCAATGCTGTAGGTGCTCAAAAATGGTTTATTTCTCCTAACAATAATGTGGAACTTCAGTTACAGACAAGTTGTATATTTTTACACTTAATTAGTATGTGTGTATGTATGTGTGTGTGTGTGTGTGTGTGTGTGTGTGTGTGTGTGTGTGTGTGTATGTGTTCATGTAGAAGTCAGAAGACAGCTCTTGCGAGTCAATTCTCTCCTTCTGTCATGTGGAACTAAGTATTGAACTAAGATCTCCAGGCTCAGCAGCAAGCTCCTTTACTTCCTGATCCATCATGCCAGTCTGATTTATGTTTTAATAACATCTAAAACATCTTAGACTTTGGTATAAACATCAGTAATTTACCTTCTTACCCAATTCTTATTTCTTCCAATAAGACCTATTCAAGGAATAAGTACTTTTCTACAATATACACCTTCTTAGTCTGTATCATTGTAAGTCCATGTATTATGTCATTATGTAACAACAAATATGTCCCTGTGCAGAAGAGCAGGTCATGCTATAGCACTGGGCCTGTTTCGTTGTACATACCCAAAACCAGTATTTGGAAGAGGGCAGGCCATAACACAGACAGCAGGTGCTTCCTATTCATGATTTTTATCACCTTCTGCTTTCCACATTTGATTATCATCCAGTCTGTGAGGGCTTTGTTCATACTGAGCATACGACATGCCCCTACATGTATTATAGGAACTTCTCTATATAGAGAGTTCTCATAAGCAAACGTGCCAGGTGGAGCCCATGGCTCTTTTTGGCAAGTATGGAATATTTTTCTGTACCAAATGAAGATTTGTGACAGGCGTTTCTGTGGAAATTTATAGTCAGCTCAGCTCTAAAACTTTCTTTCTCCATGTTCCAGGATGACAGGTACAGATTCTGAGATTCTGAATGTACAGGAAGAGAATTCATAAATAGAGAATCTGCCATGAACCATCATCCATACATTTAACTCTTTCAGATGCATCTATAAATTTCTATGACCAATATACCAGGTGGGTCACTGAGAATTGGAGGTTTCAAAATGAACTGGGATTTGAGTTCAAGGTTAAAGATTCTAGACTTTTCAGTTTATTTCATTCAGTTGTTTTGTACTATGCTGTTGGAATAGGAAGGACTGTGTTGCTTGAGCCAGCTCTGGGACTATGTCTGGTCCACACGGGGATCTAATGGCATAGGGATTTGAAGCATATCTGTCACCATGACCCTTTGAATGAGTGTAATATTGCTAAAAGAAATTTATCTTAGTAGTGCCCATAAGAGAATCAGGAAAAGGGATTGAATGGAGGTGGAAATAGGGCTATAGCAGCCTCTCTGAGTCACTGGCTTGGGACAAGACACTCGCCTTTTCTCTAGCTCCTTATTTGCAGTGAATCTCTGAACAAAATGAGTCCCAAGGACCTGCCCAGTCCCAATACCTGTGAACCTAGGAATGAGAGCACTGAGGGTCCTCAGTGGTTGGGAGACTATGAGTGCAGCTGAGGAGCAGAGATAGGAAGGTTTTCTTACAGGTTCCTACAGATAATGAGACACTGTGAGATCCCAGCACGCACAGTAGTATGTGGCTTCGTCTGCTGTGATAACATTGTTGATTATCAGGTTGAAGGTGCCGTCGTTCTCGTCTGCCTCCAAACGGGAGTTGGGCTTGTCTTGCTTGTAATTTTTAGCTGAGCCATAGAAGATTCGTTTCAGGGGCTCACCTTCTTTCAGTTGGTACCAGTGCACAATGGTGTTCTTCAGGGGGACCCCAGAGAGCTTGCAGCTTATGTGCACGGTCTTGTTTGGTGTTCGGGTAATGGACAGCTGATTCTGAGATATCCAGGAGTCTCCATCTGAAAAGTGAGAGAAACAAATCAGAGATTTCCAAATCATTGGTAGTCCCCATTGGTTTAGTACACAAAAATAACGAAAGGGAAAAAGGAGCAAAGCCAACTTACAAACCCAAGCCAAAGACAAAAGGAAAACCCAGGGGATTGGCATTTCCAATGGCAGCTGGAGTAGACACCAGAGAGAGTGACTGGGACCTGAGCTACTGCGGTGTAAGGCACATCTGTAGCTCTGTGGAAAAGGGACAGGGGAGGAGATGCAAGACTTGTGTCTGAGCTGACAAAGGTCCTGCCCAGTGATATGTGTCATTTTGTCATGTTCCTGGTGCGAAGGATCCATCAAGTACCAGAAGATGTCATTACAACACCTGTTACAATAGCAGCATTACCTTTCCTATTGGGAGCAATTCCCCCAAACGCTACTCCTGTTATCCTTAAGTACTATTTCAATGAGACCTCTCTCTCTTTGGCATTTATTTCACTCCTTAGGTTTTAAACCACTTTCCTTTTTTTGTAAATACGGTGGGTAACTATGAATGTTCCTGTGGACCAGTTTTTTGTGCATGCACATTTCACACACTAGTCTGTTTTGACCCAACTTTATATTAACAAGCAGTATAATGAAAGATACCAAGCAATAATCATCTATTGTGAATGAAGTCCTGTTTAGGAAAAACATCATGTCTTTGACCATTCATAATTAACTTATCAGAATTATAGTTCCACCTTAATTTTGTTAGGAGAACATGAAAGGCATGCTTTGCTGAGGTTGGAGCATTCTCACTTGAGCTGAGATAGCTCAATTAAGTGGTAATGTGAAAAGATTTTGACTGATCACAATGCTGGAAACTTTCAAATGAAACTTCAGGGAGTCCTCAGCATCTTGTCACTTACTAGCACTGTGGCTTTGAGCTGAGAAGTTCTGCTTACTCTCCTCAGTGAGTGATTGAGTAGGAAAGTGAATGCAGGCCTGTATCTTTCAAAAGGCTTTGGACTGTCCATCATTACTCACTCGCTCATTCACAAAGTCCACAAGCTTCCCTGAGCACTGTACTTTGGCCTCCTTTCCAGGAAGCTTTCCATAGTTGGGGAAGCAGAAACCATCACAGACACTGATGAAAGGTGGCCCAGGAATGGGGTGAGAAGAGATTATGGGGTCCTGGTGAAGGAGACATTGCATGGCCCTTGGGTTTCTGGTGAGATCAAACTCAGGACACAAAACAGCATAAGAATGCTTGGTACAGAAAAAAACAATGGAATATTGAAATTTGCAGACAAATGGAAGGTACTAGAGGAAACCATCCTGAGTGAGGTAACCCAGACACAAAAAGACAAATATGGTATGTACTCACTCATATATGGATTTTAGATATGGATCAGGGGATTGTCAGCCTAAAATCCCAGTGCCAGTGAGTCTGGGAAACAGGGAGTTTCCCAAGAGAGATGCATGATACCTCAGAGAAGTGGAATGAGGCAAGATCTCCTGAGCAGATTGGGAACATCGGCGGAGGGGAGAGGGAACCAGAAAAAAGAGAGGGGGGTAAGAGGAAGGGAGAAGAAGGCATGGGGGAGCAGGAAGGTTGAGTCGAGGTAAGAATGGAGGAGAGCAGGATGAGAGATACCATAATAGATGGAGTCATTATAGGCTTGAGGAGAGAGCTGACACTAGTGAGATCTCCAGAGATCTACAAGGATAACACCAACCGGCAAACTAAGCAACTAAACTAACCTTCATCCAGTGACTGATGGAAGCAGAGACAGATATTCACAGCTAAACACTGAACTGAACTCCTGGGACCTGGTGACAGAGATGGAGGAGTGATGAGCAAAGGGGTCAAGACCATGATGGTGAAACCCACAAAGACAGTTGACCAGATAAGGGGGAGCTCTTGAATCCCAGTCTAATGGCTGAGAGGCCAACAGGGGACTGATCCAGACTCCATGATTGTAGTGTCAGTGAGAAGGCCAGAGAAATCACTGGGGTCTTGGGTAGTTTACCATGGTGTATGAATGATCTTTGGGAGCCCATTCCAAATAGAGGGATGCTCTCTCAGCCTGGACACATGGTGAAGGGCCTAGGTCCTGCCCTGGATGAAATGACAGACTTTAGAGATTCCCCCCAAGGAGGGACTCACCCTCCCTGGGAAATGATGTGGTGATTAGGTGGGGGCTTAGGGGACCTGGTAGATGGATAAGGGAGAAGGGGTGGGAGAGGGAGCTGGGATTGACATGTGAAGCATTCATGTTTCAAATTAAAAAAAACATATATTGAGGAAAAAAGAAAAAGAAAACAATGTGAAACCTATGTTCATTTGGAAAATAAAGTATATACTATTGTAAAGTCAAAAACAAAAAAAGAATGCTTGGTAATTTTGGTCATATGTCTCTGGAGGAGGCGATTAAGTGCACAGGTGGAATCAGCCTGGATGGCTTCTGATGTGTGGTAGTGTTCTAGCCCCTGTGGGAAGTGTAAGGGGAGGCATGTGGTCTGTTCAGGCAAGCCTCCTATGCAGGGTTTTTGCTTGGTAACAATGCAAAATCTTTATAGAGTGTTTCCCAGAATGCACAGTAATATATTCCTGTGTCCTCTTCTGTCACTTGGTGTATTCTGAGAATTGAAGACAAGCCATTCTGCCATTTCTTTGCCTCATGTCTCTCCTCACTAAAACCTTCCTCATAGACAGTGTTTTCTTTTGAAATATATAGCATTCTTTTTGGAGGCTGGCCTGGCTTCTGTTGGTACCAGTGTACATATGTATTGCGCTTCAGAACACTTGATTTTATTTGGCATTCGAGAAATGCTGTATTTCCTTTTTTTCTTGGTGATATATGACATCAGATGTGAAGTGTGATTGCTTCCACCTGTATTTGAAAGATAACAAAGGCTAAAATTTAAATTTTATTTCAAAATTGTGAATTTTAAATTTCATTGAGATAATAATACACATTTGGGGTCCAAGTCCAATCCAAATCAGTGTCTCAGTTTTGTGGGCCCCCCCAACCCCAATGTGCCTTGAGGAATTTAGGATCATAGTTAAACTTGTTAACTCAACGTGAGCAGTTGTGTGATTTTCCTCCTTGTAAATGTGGTATGACCTGACTGTCCCTGTGTTCTGTGTCCTCCATTTCCAATAGCGAAGGTCATCTTACTCACAAATCCCGAGGAAGGCCAGCATGAAGATTTGTAGCAGGAGCCACATTCTGCAGCCTTTGTCTTGAGAAGGCACTGAACACTAAGGCTACACAAGCTCAGAATACAAGAGACTCGTGCAGGAAGAGGAAGTGGCATTCTGGGGACTGAAAAGAGGGTGGCATGGTGTTTCATCAAGATTTCCTGTGGAAATTGGTTTACCTGATCCACTGGTTAATAGATTTCTCTACTGTCCCTATGAAACATGTTTATCAAACTGTCAATTTAGAGAAACAATTTCTTGTCCTATTAACATGCCTCAATTGTACATATCAATGGAGTGTGGAAGTACTGAACATATGTAGTGTTCACTGTCTACCCCTCTCAAGCCCTGCAGTTCAGTGACTGTCATCATTGTAATGTTCATGTCTTTTATCCTGTTTTGGTTTTGTCCTTAGAACTATAGAGTAGATACATGAATGAATATGAAAATATAAATAGAAAAAAGCTCCAATCATACATATGATTATATTATATAAATAATTCATGATCAAATGCATGTATCAATATGTTGATCTATTACATATACATAACAGTATATGGAATAGAAGCCTTCTATTGAAATGTTTAAAGTCTATGATACCAGGAATGTTTTTAAATAATCTATTTTTTCATAATAATTTTCTAAATTTGGCAAATTTCCTTTCTATTTAATCATTTTTTATCAATGAACATGTTCCTTTATTTCAAAGTTTATAAACTAAACCATCTTTGTAGCTAAAGCAGTCCTAGCAAATATGTCATAGGCTTTTAAATTCAAGGCACAAGACTCCAATGCTACTTTTTCTAGTGAGCACTTGTAGGCCTCCAGCAGACAAAAGCTAGAAAGCCCATGATGTCACAAAGTTAAGACTTTTATAAAGTTTTGGTGGCTTTGTCTGCTGTATATGGCAATATCCATTCTAAATGGTTGTTTTAAACTACTAGGCAGGGGTGGCTAGAATGAGGATAAAGACAGAAAGAAGGGGCTGAAGAGAGATATGTCTAGTCTGCCCTTTCATATGAGGCCAGCCTACTTGTATACACACATGGACACTGACTAGCCCAAGGAGTTGTTCCCTGTTGTCCTTTCGTTTTACCCTCTAAGGTCCCTTCCTGCTACCACACAATGTAGTGAATGTTTTCCATTTTACTAACAATTCTTCAAAGGCTGTACTTAATGGTTACATGCTATTTTGTCATATTAGACCCACAGATAAGGTACCACTTTGTCTCCTCTGCATCACTTTAGCATCCATCAAGTTTCTATCCCAGATCTATTCAAAAGTTAAGACTGTGAGACTTCCCAACATTCTTTTGAGAATATAGAGAAGTCATCTGTATCAAGGGCTTAACTCAGAGATCATGGGACGTTTAATTCCACAATTTTGTCTCCTTCTTTCTAGAAGGGTCCTTGTTCTTAGACTGTCTGTCCTTTCCATAGTCTTACCATTATGACTATGCACACATTAGGCAGGAGGCAACATCTGCTGAGACTTGGGTACTCTGTTTGGGCCCACTGAAGACCACTGTGTTCAGAAGCCATCATGTAGAGGGTGTGTGCAACAGAGTGCTGAATTGGCTTTTGGGGTCATGCTTAGAGCAACCAAGTGTTCTCTCATTCAGTTTTCAGTGATGATCCTTAGAAGGAATAAATGGATCACAAATATATTTTAGGTATTCAGAGACCATAGGTAGAGTGCACAAATGACTAGTGTACTGTAAGATACTATATTATTAAATTTATCAGTATAAAATTATTATTATACAGGAAGAATTATTTTTCCTCATTAAACTTTTAAATGTTCCCAATTATCCAAATGGAAGTGAGAAAATAAACTTGTAATAGTTGTCAATAATTATTTTTTACTTTTTCAATTCATGAGTGATTATTTTCTCTGTAGGTACAAAACGCAGGTATTTTTTTTTCTTTTGAAGTCAGCGAAGTTCTTATGTCGTATTTTTGTTATTTCTGTCTTGCAGAACTCTAAGTACTGAGTTAAAGTGCTTTCTTGGAGCAGATTTTTGCTTTGTCCCTGCCTTGGTCCTGATTTACATTGGGCTGCATTGCATGTGCAGTATTCTACTTTGTTGCTATATCTAGAAGGAGATGATTGTCTCTTATACCCAAGTGGTCACTAAATTTATTTCAGGAAGACCTTAGGATAGTGATAGCAGGCATCCGATTACTACATTTGCTAGACTTTCCAACCTCTGAAAGCCTCTGATGCACATGAATAACATTGGGAAATAACTATAACATGAAGTATCTCTGAAATAGTTACACCCCTCTTTTGACACTAACTCTGTCTTGTTTTCCTTATAAATTCAGTTATGGGAAACTTCCATACAGTTAAAAATAGAACCAAATCATGCAGTGAGTCTGCCATCCCATAATGAATTGTTTTTTTTACACTTTTTTATTATATATTTAAATTAGAAACAAGCTTGATTCCAATGTCAGTGCCAGCTCCCTCTCCCTCCCCTCTACACCCACTCCCTCCCCCTGCTCCCTCAACCCCCACCCATTCCCCACTCCATTCCCCAGGGAGTGTAAGGCCCTCCATGGGGGATCTATAGAGTCTGTCATTTCATTCTGGGGAGGGCCTGGGCTCTTGTGCCCAAATTGAGAAAGTATCCCTCATTGTGGGATGGGTCCCCAAAGTCCATTTGTGTGCCAGGGATAAATATTGATCTACCCCCCCAAAAACCCCATAGATTGCCTGAGTCTCCTCACTGACACCCACATTCAGGGGGTCTGGATCAGTCCCATGCTGGCCTCTCAACCATCAGACTGGGGTCCAAGATCTCCCCCTTGTTCAGGTCAGCTGTTTCTTTGGGATTCACAAATCCAGTCTGGAAACCTTTGCTCATCACTCCTCCCTTTCTGTCACTGGGTTCCAGGAGTTCAGTTCAGTGTTTAGCTGTGGGTGTCTGTCTCTGCTTCCATCTGTTACTGGATGGAGGTTCTAGGATGGTATGTAAGATAGTCATCAAAGTCACTATTAGGGAGGAGCATTTAAAGTAGTCTTAGTTTGCCAGTTGGTGTCATCCTTGTATATCTCTGGAGTTCTCATTAGTGCCAGATCTCCCCTCAAACCTAGAATGGCTCCATTATGGTATCTCTGATCCTGCTCTCCTCTATTCTTCCCCCAACTCAACTTTCCTGCTCCCCCATGTCCTCCTCTCCCTTCCTTTTATCTCCCTCTCTTTTTCCTGGCTTCCTTTCCCCTCCCCCACCCTGTGCTCCCAACTGCTCAGGAGATCTTGCCTTATTCCACCTTCTCTGGGTACCATGTATATCTCTCTTAGGGTCTTTCCTCTCTCCATGCCTCTATGGCAGTGGGATTGTAGATAGGCATTCCCATGATTCATGTCTAAAATCCATATATGAGTGAGTACATAACATGTTTGTCTTTTTGTGACTGGGTTACCTCACTCAGTATGGTTTCTTCTAGTGCCATCCATTTGCCTGCAAGTTTCAGGATTACATTGTTTTTTCTGCTGAATAGTATTCCATTGTGTAAATGTACCACATTTTCTCTATCCACTCTTCAGTTGAGGGGCATCTAGGTTGCTTCCAGGTTCTGGCTATTACAAATATGCTGCTATAAACATAGTCCTTATTGTATGAATGACTTGTTACCAGATGTTCTCATTTAGTAGTAAACAGTGTGGAGCCAGCCTTTGTTGGCAATATAGTCCCTGGGGATTCACTTAATAGGAGAATCCACATTGTTGAATGGAAAGCTAGGGAGGTGCTGGGAGAAGATGAGTCTCCAAGTGGTACCCGCCACTGAACAGCAGGTGGCTGCCCTTGCTGAGGAGGATGTGGGTTGGAGCACAGGGCTGGGGAAAGGTTCTTGTGTAGACTATTCTAGAAGCTCAAATGCTGTGCTTTAGCCACAGGAACAGTAGTAGATAGCTTCATCATCTTCCTCCAAGGAATATATTGTCAATGTTGATATGGAAGCACTAGAGTTTTTACTTGCCTCCATTTTTTTGTACTTCTCATCTAAGAGAATATGGGTAGGAGTTGCGATGACATATAATAGAAACTCTAAACCTTGATTGGGTTTCTGCCGGTACCTGTGTATGGCTACACTTTTAAAGCTGTTGATGGAAGCCCTACAGGATATTTGGACACTCTCATCTTTTGTTCTGGAAATTGATATTGCAGGTTGCTCCAAGTTCCCAAGTCCATCTGCAAGCCGAGGAGAAAAATTCCCATGAATAAATGGCAGGTGAAGAAGCACCAAAACAGACAGACTTCATTTTCTGCTGCACAGGGAAAGGACAGTGGTAACCTACAAGTGAAGAGGCACGAGAAAAGGACTACTTTCAGAAGTGGATTCCCATCTGCCAGGCCGGCTTCCCAGGGAAGGAGGATTTGTGAGCCAGAACCCTTCATGGTCTACAGTAGTTATGAATGTGGTTCTGGATTTTCTGGCCCACACAAGCTGGTCAGATTAGCATGTAAGTTGTAACTGTTCTTCTGAGGGTGGGGCAGTGTGGGTGCAGCGTTCTTATCTGTTTCCTCTTCCATTGCTTACTGCAGAGATGTTGCTCGGGAGCTATGAAGACATAGTTGCTATGCTCTCTTTGTGAGGCTTCCTATTTGCAATTTGTTGTATGTTCTGGCCTGGAGGAATAAAAAATCTGACTTTAATTGTCTAACAACAACAAATCAGCCTTTGATATCTTTTGCTGACTTAACATACCAAATGCACAAGTTTTGGATAATTTATAAGTTCTTTTTAATCAATTGCATTTCACTAAACAAATTGCAAGCTAGGGACATTGTTTCAGTTATACTCTTGGTCCCTTTAAGAATTAATCAGATGACAGTTATTGGGGATATGAGACAGACCAGCTGTAGAAATTAGTCTTTGTCCTCCCTGGGTAGTAGAACTTTCCATTAACAGATGTAGGGGCAGTAGTATTTTTAAATCAGTCTAAGTTCAAGCTGTAATTAGAGCTCTAAAATTAATTTTGTATATAATAGCCACTGAGGATTTGGTTCTTTCCAGACTCTGGTCAACCTGTTTCCTTATAATATTTAATTCAACTTTTAGTTCCATGTTATGAGTATCTCTGTTTGACAAAATCATTCAAATAGTTTGAACTTTCTGTACTTATTTGCATCTGTTAATAGAAATAAGACTGCTGTGTATCATTTATATTTTTAAGTGGGAGGTGCATAATTGACCTCAAATTCCCTCCTGATTTTCCCATTGTGTGTAATAGTTTCAGTTTTTATGTATACGTGAACATCATTTTTAAGAACAAATGGCAATTAAATGCCCTCCTGTAGTCCACAGCCTTGTAGAAAACTAGTTGAGGTAATTAAGCTTTCTAGGCCTTGCATATACATATGTTTTTTGAAATGTTAGGAAGTTTATAATGCTGTGCTATGTAAAGGCATTGAGTCAAATGCTCAGGTATGCATGCCCTACACATCATAAGTCTTCACTGATATCATTAACTACTATCAAAAATGAGAAAATAACATTAATAATCATTTTTATAAAACAACAATATCTCAGTTAAGAACACTAAAATTAAGAAATATATGTAGAAGAAATTAAAACACCTATTTCTTTGGAAATAATTACACTTGAAAAATTGGAAAAATTTATTTCCTTTTATAAAATACCAAGATAATTTTTGTATTATTCAAAGATTATTAATTATTTATGAAAATTTCATTCTATTCCATTGTATTTTTAAATTTTACTGATAAATGCACAGGCATTGATTCCAAAGGCTGTATAATATTCCTGTCATGTAGTTCTAGATGGGAAACAAAGAAACATGATCCTAACTAGAGAGAGGAGATAAAATGGGTGAATTGTACATCCATTCTACCTCCTGTGTTTGGGTACATTGCAATTTCCTTTCCACTCCCTCAAATTAAACAAAAGATCATGGATCCTTGACACAAGAAACAGCAAGAATGAACATGTTGATGTAATTTTGAAGATTAATAGGTTGAAAAGTTGGTACTGTTTTCTGTGCTTTCTTGTTAGAAGACCTTTTTTTCTAGAAGACTACTACAAGGTGCTATTGTTAAAAATGACAAATATTCTGAGATATTTTATATGAAAAAATTAACTGGAAATTTATGGTCATATTGCTTATTCTACAAAGCCACATAATTATTCAAATCCTGAGCATGCTTCAACATATACTAATAATTTGCATCAATTAATGTTACATTATGGTATGTCTCCTCTATGTAAGATGGAAATAATTAATTCTTTTATGCCCCCTGAGATGAACTACCTCAGTAACAGCCAAAAAAGTGCCCTGTTAGCTGAGTGTCTACCTTGATCTATCATGGACCCTTGTCTGGATAAATGCCTGAACCACTTAGTGTTTCACTTATTTTCTGATACAATTGGTGAGAAAAGAGAAATAGGTATTTTAAGTGGTGTGACTTAAAGAAACTAATATATGCAAAGGACTGAAAGCACCAATAGAGATCTCATGCACATATTGATGACTCTGTCTCATAAGGTCTGTCTTGTCCTTTACAAGTATGTAAGGCTGTGAACTCATCTAATGGCCAAAGTGACCCCACTTGGTTTTTGATGGCATCATCCTGAAAAATTTCCTTGTCCCAGTTCCCAGTAAAGTATTTTTCCTCCTTCTTAATGTACTGCAGATACCCTAGCACTCACTTTCAGAACTGAAATTCTTACACTTAGTGTGGTCTCATGGTGTCTTCATTTGTCTAAGCTTAAATTTCTACCATGATACAACAGATCAAAAGTAGTTATGCTTCTATGGGTGGTTTGACTATAGCAATCTGTTGATTGGCTTAGATTCTAAAAAGTTAGAATATGTATTATATATTTTTAGAGCTGATGGGAACTGAAAATATATACATTGCCTTCTGTTCCTTCTCAACACCTCTTCTAGGAGCCCATATTATAGGAAGTCCATAGCAACTGAAACACTGGGCCTTGCTTTCTCACTGAGATAGTCAGAGAGTTGTAATAGACTTGATGTCTAAACCAAGTCAACAGGAAATGATGCTGACCCAGAAAGTTGGGACCACAGTTCCTGGCATCTGTGGGACACAGTCGATAGTCATCAGATTCCTCTTCTGGTTTCTCCTGATAGAAGTGCTGCAGGTGGGGGCTGAGGCTGAGCAGGTCTCAGGGCTGGACTAGGTTACTCTATGTTAGGAAGGAAGTGGTTACAGACATGCTGAAGGTGTATGTGCTCATTACTATGACTCGATTCATGGTAGGTTCCAAGGGCCAGCATGTCATCAGGAAATATAAATGAAGGACCAAATACGGGACAGAAGCTTTTACATGTTTCACATTTGTTGCGCTTTACCTTTAACTGACCTTGTCTCATGCTTTTCCTCCTGAAGTAAACAGCAGATTCCCAAAAACTTCATTTGGAGTTGTTCCATACCTGAGTATATATGAAAAGCTGTGTGTAGATAACTGCAGAGAAAATGCATTCCTTTCATCAATGGCATACATTTGCTTGGTTCACTTGTATTCAGTTTCTACTTCAAACAAAAGAATAGCATTATGAGCAACTGCAAAACACCCAACATCACCTAAAGGTCTCCCTCAACCAATCTCAGGAATAAAGAAACAAACTCAAAGATTGAAAAGCAAATGAATACTTATAGTTAGTAATTCCACCTTCCTGGGCTCTTTATGTCTATACCTTAGACTTAGTTTCCCTAAGGAGAAGTATGGGGAGTCAACAATCCTGGAGCAGAAGGTGTTAAGCCAGTATGAAGGAGCAGAGGTTATAGTATTTAGGTGGAAAATAGGTACACTCAGATCAGCTAGTCCTGAGAGCACTAACTGGTCAGTTTTGCCCAGTTCTATATGTCACCAAAATGATCATCCCACTTATTAAGACAAATGTTACAAAATGTGTTACCTCAGTGACTCTCATCACCATTATCCTTTTGTTGATTTCAATGATTACCAAGCATTTGGGTCATGTGTATAGTCCAGAATTTCTTGGCCTGGTACTGTTAACATTTTTGGCTGTGGTCGTTGTTCCTCAGGTATAAGGAGAGAGCTGTGCTATGCACTATAGAATGTTTAGATGAGTTGTGGCCTCTACCCGGTTGATGACAGTACAACTCCACCCTCTTGTGACAACTTAAAAATGTCTACAAACATTTCCAGTGTTTCAGCTGAGAACAATTGTTTTAGTCACATGTTTAGGAAAAGGTACATACTAGCATAATTGTCATGAAATCTTAGTGAGACCCCCGATGAACAACTAGCATGGAAAATTTCCCTTTCACCATCAGCATCCTTTAATCTTTCTACCGCCTCTTTCTTTTAGAGGAGCTTGCACTATAATACTGTCACTTATCATATAACACTGATGTTTGTGGATCAGCTGTTCCCCATTAATTCCACATCCTTATCCTACCTTCTGCTGTATTGGGTTATGTTAGAGATGCTTAAGTCCTCCGTGGAATCAAGCAGAATTCTTGAGTTCTTCATGTTTATTGTAAGTCATGGGTAATTCTTTTTATAGACTATATTAATGAATAAAATTGTTAAAATAACCTAAAATTTCTTATTTGATTGCTTAAAATTTCCCAAACATTTTCTATACATTGGCTTATTTCATCTGAGTGATGATACTTTTAAGCAGAAAGATAATGCTAGAGGAAATGAGCTAGGAAAGGTTGATGCTGAACCTCAGTCCTCTTTCTTTAATACCAAGTCACATGGTCTACAGAAGGGAAAATGAAGACCAGTGCCCTGCTTCTTAGGTCCTGCCTGATTATCAACTATGAAAACGAAATAAAAATTCCTACCTCTACCTCTGTTTACAAAAGGAGAATAGTAGGGTAGGGAGTGACTCAGAATTCTGTGGCTTCCACATCAGTCACCTTCTTCCTCTCACATATGCCTCCTCTTTAAGAGCTGCAGCTCAAAGCTTTGTAGGGTTATCTAAGGTAGATTTTAGGTATGCTCTTGTATGACTTTAATTTTTGGCTCAAGTGTTACTGATATCATCTTGAGTGAGAACATCATAGAGCCCCCAATCTTGGCAGATGTTTGGTGCAATGGTATCTCATAGCAAAGGTTCTGAGGTTGGCCAAGTCTATCCTACTCTTCTAGAGACATGCACAATGGACCTCAATAAAGACTGTAGGGAGAGAAATAGCTTCAATGTACTTACTGTTTGTCTTCAAACCAAGCAGATGGCAAAAAAAAAACAGAATATTCTATTTAAAAATAAAAGATACACAAAATAAGATTAAGAAATTTAGAATATCATTTTCTAACACATATCATTTGGGTATTTAAGAATTTGACAGCAAATCTACTTAACTAGTCTTCCTTACAGTTTCAGTGCCAGTGTCCAGCCTGTATCAGTCTCAAGCTTCAGGGTCCATCTATTCCAGACTGATGTCTTTGGGGCTGTGAACAGGAATAGCCCCAGGTCTGACCCTGAGTTGGGAAGTATGGATGAGGGAGGTCCTAGCTACCCAACAATGCTAAGGAAGAGACCAAACAATGCTGGTCATATCAAGGGGGCTCCCAGTAAATACTGGCGGACATGGTTTATTCAAACATCATCTTAAGTAACTATCCAAAAGCAGGGCTACTGGCAGAAGACATCTAT